TATCAATCGGGGTCTCACCATTCCAGTCACCCTGGCCTGTGGGCTTGGACAGCCTATGTGGACAGCGGGCTTAAGTTTACTGGTCATGTGTGGCCACTAGTCTAGCCCTGGATTCACTGATCATATCATGTGGGCTATGAGGGTGCGCCTAATGCACACCGGAGCCGCTGATGATCACTCATGGACCCATGGAGCACTGCGCTCGCGGACTGTGACAACCCTTTGCGGACTGTGCGATGGATGGACTCACTGGTCACTGTGAGGAGGGGGAGTGGGCCATACGTGGAGTGCGCTTACCGCAGACTGTGATAACCCTTTGCAGACCCTGACAGCCTCGAGCTGCCAATTCTTTTATGAAGTCCTGGGGCGAGCGCGCTTCCTGCGATCTGTGCTGCCCACATCAAACTGACAGACTTGAGCCAATTTAACATAGTCTATTATAGGTATTCTTGATGTTTTATTTCAAAACAATTGGGCTTGGGAATTAGTCAATATATGTGCAAAGTGTATACTTCTGGTCCTGTTGGCACCCATTGCTTTTCGTGACTGAAAAGCTTAGTCCTAGTCGTGGCGTCCCCTGTGCACTTAGCTGAGGTTTAGTCTACGGAAGGCCAACAAGTGAACAGTTGACACACCCACTTTGCACGAACAGTTGTTTCTAACTCGTTTCGCCTTTGACTCCTGTTCGTTTGTTTTGTTGTTTGTTCAACACGTTTCCTGTCTTCAGCTGCGCAGAGCCCTCAATGAACTTGAGAAAATTGTGGCCGCAAGGTTTGCTTCTAAGATTTTGCAAAGCTCATGGAGCACGTTGCGCTTTGTTGCACTTTGTTAGTTGAGAAATCCCTGGGCTAAGCACGGTGTTGCCTTGCTCACGGTTGCTCTTTTGTTTGGCCTCAGCGTTGCTCTTTTGAAGGTCGTGTGCCACAAATTTGTTTTTTACAACAATATATATTCGATTGGAACAGACTAAATGAAACGCAGGAATGAGACCAAAAACCACTCTGTCAAACATAGCGCTGGAACATTGAAAGCAGAGGCCCTGGGAACCTACCACCAACACGTTTCACAAACAGAAGAACCTAACCTCAGAAAGCTTTGCGCCGGCAGGGTGCAACGCGCAATGTTGCAACAACACAGCGTTCACATGATCAGCCTTCAACCGATCTTCAGGGGCTGTTCATTCCAATGACACATGTCCGTGCCTGTTGCAGGATCAAAAAGAATTAATCTAGTTCGACGCTGTTGCGAGACCGTGGGGCTGCAGTTCGTGTCACTCAGACTGGGTTTAATTACATGGCGCAACAACTTAAGACCATCCAACAGCTTTCATTCAGCCAGGTCGTTAGTGGCACTGGCACGCACACCGCTCTCCCACTAAACAACAAACAAACCTCCCTGCGTCGCAGCACCAGACCCAGAAAATAAGTTAACAAAAGAACTTGATACCAAAGGCGAAATGAATTTGAAATCATCATTCACTGACTGAAGCACAGGTTTTACCGCCGCCAGCAGCAAACATCAGCTTCGCTCCATTCGAAACTACTAATCTACATTCTCCACGCTCTCACCGGCCATCTCAATGGCAGGATCCTCCTCAACCACCTCTTCCTCTTCGCCTTCACCGTCTGGCCCGTCTGCAGCAGCAGCTGCAGGCTTGGCTTTCACACCCGAAGCTGAACCTAAAAGTTGACAGCGGTTTGGGAAGATGCAGCCATGAGTCAAGCCATGATTGACAAATTCGTGGGCAGGCTTTGTAAGCTCAAAACTTTTAGTGGTTGAACATCGTTCAAGCGGTTCCAACTTCTCCAACAAGGCTGCCTCGCAGCGGACGAAATACTCCACTTGGGAAAAGAAAGGGGACGACGACGTGACCTCGTCCGCGCCTTCACCTCCTCAACCTGCTTTTTCGTCTCCCCCTTTAAAAAATGGCTCCGGCAAATAACCTCAGCCGAATGAACTTGCGATGACAAAAATTGACAAAAACAAGCGTGATGTGAGCTCTTGGCTGCAATCTCCTTCGTCTTTTCAGCATCATAACGAGCGCTACCCACCTAGGGAATGTTCCACATTCTGGGCACCAAACCCAGGGCAGGTTGAGAGTTGGAACAAATCAGTTCAAGCGATCTCAAACAATGGCAATTGGCAATGTCTTTGACTGTTCTTTGGTTTTGACGGCCAGGCACGGATAGGACCAGCTTGGGCCCCATCTTCAATCCCCACGAGTTGTTATTCTTGTGGAACTGCGGGTTGCTGATTTTGATCTCTGATCCTTTTTTGGCCTCCAACAACGAGAGGCCACCATTCAAACCAACATGGTAACACGTTGAACCAGCCACGCGGTAAGACTTGCAACACCCGCCTGCTTCTTGTCATCGTCCACCTTCGCCTCGTCGCCGTCTGCATCCGCTGCCTCTCCTTCTGCTGCACCCGTCTCTGTCTGTCCCGATGCCTTCTCTTTCGAAGGGCTCGCAGCAGGTCTCTTTGACGCAGCCTTCCCCTTTGCTTTCGCTTTGGGCTTTGGGGCCCCTTTCTTCGGTCCCTTGGCTGATTCGGCTGCACCCTCCTCCGGTTCAACCAGCTGATCGGCTGATTTCGCCTTTTTCTTCGGCTTTGGAAGGTCCGCTGCCGGCCTCTTCCGCGTAGTGGGAGTTGTCTTTGGCTCTTCCTCGCTCTCTGTCAAGTCGGTGATCGGCTGCAGCGCTGGCATAATGGCAGATCGCCCCAACAACGCAGGCTACCACAGTCGCAAGGACCAGCTACTGAAATGCTGCTGTCAACATCTCGCACGGTTGAGGACCCACACAAGGTGCGACACCGAACCAAGCAGGGGGCGACACTGAAAAAACAACACCCAGATCATAGCTGGCGCATTCTCAACCCAAAACAAATGGTTAGTGCCTGAATGCCCGAATTGTTTTCCACAGTCCACCACAGGTCAGTGGAACTGCCAGCTTCCAGATTGCTCACAGACTATGGCTTCCGCCCTGCAAAAATCAGTTGGGCTGCCACACTTGTCAACATGAAAGTCATGAAAGTTAAAGCTTTGGTCTACTTTTGGATGGTAACGGCAACCCAACTACCAAAAACAGATCTGTTCGCAAGCCCCTGGCTCAGATCACGGCAGTTGGACCCATGAATTGGGCGGGACAGTGACGACAGCGGTGAGGTGCATCTTCGGCTTCGTAGGCACAATTTTGTTGCCTTGCATCTGAACCTGTGGCAAACATGCATTCGACAGGTTTAGCATTTTTATGGGAACTTCTGGTAAGCAATCTAGCCTTAATGTGTCGGTTGCGCCTAGAACGCCTTCCAACGACCCGCCAGCCTCCCAAAGTACATCCAACACCTTTGAATCTGGGAGATCCTGCCACTTCCCCACAAAGATGGCACCAAGGTTGTTGAACTTGACATCAGCATTCTGCTGCAACGGGTTGGCTTTGAACACATTTGTCCGCATGGATGCGGCAGGACGCACATTGTATCGAAAACTCACAGGTAGCTGTTCTTGTTCACCCTCAACCTGGGCAAGGCACCCAGAACAAAAATTACAGGCCGGCGCACACACACACACACACCTGGTGAATAATGCTTCTGTTAAAGGACCGCCCTGAACATCGCAGGCTGACCCGCGCGCCGACGATCGGTCTTGAAACACTGTACACACACATGAATTAAACAAATAACGACACAACAACTGACTCATTCAAACAGCCTGGGAACAGCCGGATGGAGCTTCGGCTCGAGCAGGTGGTCCGTCAAGGTCACGTCAGCCAGTCCATGTTTCACGGCAGCATTGTGCAAAAACTTGCAAAATGGAAGAACAACCTTGTCGTGCACAATGAGGTCCGTGTCCGTGGTCAAACGGAACGCTATGCCTGAGGCGTCCCTCTTGGACGTATGGTTGATCACCTTGTACTCAAAGGACCCGGTGTTAAATCCAAAGATCTCTCCGCTGTAGCTTGCCTCCTGGTCGCCAGGGTTCCCAATCCAAATCTTGTAGTGCTTGTCCACCAGCACATTGGGTTTGGAAGCCCGTCCATTCACGCAGCAAAGCCTAACAAGCAGAATGAGTCTTGCAAAACAGCCAGCCACTCTACTCAGCGCACGGCGAAAGCTTTTGACATGTAATGGGTTGGTATCAACTTCAAAACGATAATGAAAATAATCACAATGTAAACAATCTGCCCATCTCTGATCCAGAATGAAGCACCCAACACACACACAAACAAGAAGGCCAACCTCAACAACACGACCCCAAAAATAGCGCTCTCTTGGCGCGCGCAAACTCACGCCTCTGATCAGGAGGTGGTGGGGCTTCCACCAACAGATCCACGACCCGGGTGACGTCGAGAGGTTCTTTTCCTCCGTCGACTGAGAAGTCAGGCTGGCCGCTGGCTCGCTGCGTGGTAGAAGCAGGAGTAGTCGCAGTAGTTCCGGATGAGGTGTTCGTGTTCGATGGCGGTGGGAACTCTGTATTAAACTCCTTCATCAGTGTCTCCAACTCCTTTGCTTCAGGTGAACCAGCCGCAAACTTGGAGTTGAGGGAGCTTGGCCACATGGGGCCTTGCTCCGTGCAGCTGATCAAAGTCAGCCCGCTCACAAGCCTGCTTGGCTGCGACTTTGGTCGAGTCTTTGAAGGCGAAGACGACAATCCATCCCAATGCTGGAAGATTTTGCTTTCGATGTCATGCAACACCTTTTTGTGGATCTGACTTGCCCCAGGCCTGTCTGAATCGTCTCTGAAGACGCCGTAGTAAATCAAGTCTGGCTGATCTGGCTTCTTCCCCTCAAGCGTCATCTCCACGATCGCTTTGCTGAACTCAGCATACCTGCCAGCCAGGCCACAACGCAACGACATGCAGGATAGAAATCCGGTGGTATACACAACAACACAACATACAACAAAACACACACACTTTAAAATCAGTTCCCGCTAATCAATCCCGAGGATCGTGTTGGGCAACACATCAAACAGCACCACCGTGTCGTGATCGCAGTTGAAGCTCATGCCGCGCAAAAAGCCCTCCACGATCATCCGATGACAAGCAACGCCCTTCCTGGAAGCGATGCTGCGCACACATCAAGGGAATTGACGTTCAAAATCAGCCCCAGACTTGAGGAACCGGCTTTTACAGCAAACAACTTCCGCCCACGCGCCGAAACCGTGCTTTAACACCCCTCTTATATATTTTGTTGGGAACAGCGCAACCCGCTGATAGAACCAGCGCGGGGCACGAAACTCACATTGGCGCGACCATCCAGCATTGGGCACACCCCGTGCATATCTCTGCCACTTTCTCCTCGAAGCTTTGAACAGGAATGAGTACAGTAGTAATAGCAAAGCGTAGCAGTAAACAGTAGTGGCAGCAGTAATAGTCGTCGTCGCTGTCGCAATCATAGTCGTAGTGGTAGTGGTAGTCATAGTCGTACTCAGTAGTAACAGTAGTAGTAATAGTAGCAGCAGTAGTAGTAGCAGCAAGTAGTAGTAATAGAAGCAGTAGTATTCAGTAGTGGTACTCAGTAGTAAGTAGTAGTAGTAGTAGTAATAGAAGCAGTAGTAGTAGTAGTAGTCGTAGTAGTAGTGGCGGTCGTCGTCGTCGTAGTAGTAGTAGTATAGTAACAGCAGCAGCAGCAGCAGCAGCGGCAGCAGCAGGAGTAACAGTAGTAGTAGTAGTACTACTACTAACTAGTAGTAGTAGTAGTAGTAGTAGTAGTAGTAGTAGTAGTAGTAGTGGTAGTAATAGTAGTAGCACATTAGCATACCTGCGGGGAAATTTAACGGCTAGCTTGCAACGCGCCCTGCGCCGCCTTCTACAAGCCACGTTTGTCTCCTGCCCTTCGGCTCCTTTGCCAAAGCCAAATTGACAACAAGTTCAACAATTAATAGTTAATGGTAAATGAATGATAAAAAACAGGCAACAAATTTGGAAAGCGCACAAGTGGCTTGTGAAATTAGAGCAAAACAAGTGATTAGTCACAGTCGATTGATCCTCAGAATCTCCAAGTGTAAGGTCAGGCCGTTCTTAATTGTTCTTTTGCCTCCCACATGCACGTTGACCTTTTAAAATAGGGGGCTCTGGACATTGCCACCCATGGCTTTTCTGACTGGGTTGTTGCACTTGCGATCCGAAGATTATATGACAAAAATGACATTCAAAACAGTCAAGGGTCTGTTCCACTCTCGCGCCAGCCCCAGGACGCAAACCGTTCTCAGGATCGTACCCCTCCATGTCCGAAACTCGGACCAGGGGCAGGGGTCCCACAAGCCCAGTCTGATGAACCTCGCAGTCGCTCCACTTGCATGCTTTCGATGCCACCGGACTCACTGCGACCTGTGTCAGAGGCCTTTTGTCACTCCCTTGACGGGCAGCCTCCTTCTGAAAGAGTAGAGTGACTCTTTGCGTGATGTCAAGCTCGCTCTTCATGAGCGCGTCCTCCAATCTGCGGGAATGCTTGACAAGCGCTTGCATCGTGGTGCCTGCATGAAAAACTGGGTTCTGCACCAAGCCAACATTCTGCGGACCAAGCGCGCACACGTTCTGCATCAAACTCACGCTGTCCAGCATGTACTGGTTGCTGGCTGGCCACAGGGTTGCGTCAATGGAGCAAATCACATGCCTGCACAAGTGCGCGTAACCCAGGCGTTGTTACTCATCCCTGCATTAGTGATTAGCATGTTGCAATGAAGCCCTGATAATTACATCAAAAAAGTTTCCACGCGTTAAAGACGAAGCGCGTTGTCCCCGTAGTGTTGCCACGCTCTGCGATGTACTTGGAAAACTCACTCAGGGTATTGCTCATGCTGGAACCTTCGCCATCATCCTTGACAGAAATGAAGACCACCCGGCAATTCTTCCGCATCCACTCTGCGACAAACTCAAACCCCTTCCTCAGATTCTCCACTGGTTAAAAACAAGCAGATCGCCAAGAATGGGTGATGATTGGCCAGTAACAACTGGCAACGCAAACTACTAGCAGAACCAACAAAAAGAATGTCTGGGCTTCAGCGCGTGGAACAACACAAAACCTACTGTGTGCACCAACATGTTTCGCTTGCCGATCCTTCAGGTATTTCATATCCAAAGCCGTCTCAACGGTTTGCGCCTGCTTGCTTGGAAGTGTATCACGGAGCCGTTTGATGTCATCTTCCAACTGGCCCTTGATTTGCTCCAACGTGGCTTGCCGGACCTTCAGCTCACGTTCACGGGCGCGCTCTTCTTGCACACTGGCCTGCTGCGACTCGTGGCTCGAAATCAAGTTCCTGGGGCATCCCACAACAAAAAGGCTTGAAAGTGGCTGAACAACTCAAAGTAATTTGCCGATCTTCGTTCAAACACTTCTGTCCTGAAGGCGCCAATAGCTCGCACATCACCTGGAGGAACCGTGGTCTCGCCCTGGAGCTGAAGTTCAGCATCCAGTCCACCAAGTAGAAACATCCCAGTCAACTTCTCCCGAGCAGCTGGATACTGCCCACTCGGAAGATATGTTTCAAGAGTCTGCAGGAAATGCAAGAACAATCCCGTCACCTGATGCAAGGAAACCGCTTCTTTGTACGTGCACTGACGCTTCATGCCATCTGTGAGCGCATCCCAGTCATGGCAATACCTCTGGGTGAACAACTTCACCTTGGGAGCTCATTGCCAATGTCCGAGTCCGAAATACGATCCACACACACCAACACAACACACACACACACAGAGAGAGAAGCACCAACAAAAAAATACAGTCACGTTCAACCTCTCAGTCACCAGCGCCCCGTCCTGCCCGTTGGTGAGCTGTGAGTGCCAACTCTCTTGGTTTCCCGAGGCACTAGTCCACCCTGTGTTGAAACATCCTCGACCCACGACTTCGTGGGAGATGAATGAGCGCATGCCGCGCGTTGAAACGCAGTCCCTGAGCATGGACACAATGGCTGGCTCCACGTTTGCCTGCAAACAACTGACAGCTGCGCCTTCCCATTTACCTATCTGGAAGGCCTTGCAAACAGCTGTGCTGTTGGACCAGTCCTCGGAACTCGCGAAAAAGGAACTACCCCGCTTTGTTAAAGATGATGACAAATTGGATGGACAATGGCTTCTGGCAGGCCCCTCCAGCAGCCGTCATTTCAACACGGTTCCACACACAATTTTCAAAACCATGGCCCCTACAACTGTGCGGGGCACTTGACAATAGGAACCAGCTGGAACACTGAGAAGGGCAATGACCAACTTTGCTGTCAGTTTTGCTTCCGATTCAAAAAAAGTACACTGACACTCACCCAGCAAGCTAGCAAACCCCAAAAACAATGGATTGCTGCCAATCAGCTTCAAACTGGGCACTTGCTCCTCCGTAGCCAGCCCTGGACAGGCATTCAATTTGCCTCAAGAAATTGAAGGCGTGAGGTGCCTTCCTTGTCTGAGTGCTGGCAAGGGTGATGCCACGGTTGGCGAAGATCTGCTCTCTGATGGAACTGAAGTTTCCCACTGTGCAATGAATTGTCTTCGAAGAAGCCTTGCATGAATGGAACTAGAAACTGATTCTGATGCCCCTTATTGTCTTGAATTCTGTCAGCTTTCTGTTGGAGAAAGCCAACTCCTCGTTTTGCCCTGACGTGAGTCTACCAAAATCACTGGAAGTGGTTTAGCCATTGAGTCCGCGAATCTCGTTTTATCAAATGTTCAACTGACATCTAAAAATTCATTATCACATGCCAGTAACAGCAAATTGTTTTGGAATGTCTTCTGCTTTGATCTCCAAGGCTTTCAGGCCAGCAAGAACTGCCAAAAAAGTAGTGGACCTCCTCCAGCCTTTGACAAATCCAGCTGCAAATGGTTCCATCTCGTCACCTCACCAACGATGTTGAACCCAAACATCACACCTACAAACAGGAACCCCCTGGCACGCGTCACCTGAGAACACGGCTCCCACAATGAAGCTTCCTCAAGGGTGCGTAAGGCCGCTCCAGCATGTGGGAAGTCTGCGGGTCGCATATCGTGATCTTCTCCGTCCCACCAAGATCTGGGTCAGTCCGGAACCTGGGCCAAGCGTTCAGCAGCTTCAAATGGGTTGACTACAATTACAATGTAGTCTGAAAACCAATCATGGAAAATTTGAAAGAGTTGCGGAACAAGCCAAAGAACCCCTCTTGCAAGAACAGCTGCGCAAGCAAAATCATCTGCTCTGGCTCACACATCGAGCTGTACCCAAAGTCTCGGCGAAATCCGAGCATATATGGTCGAAGAAAGCACCCTCCTGTTTTGAAGGCTGCTGCATACACCTTCCTGAGGCACATGTTTTGCGAAAGGAAAAATCCACACGAAGGCTCCTTTCAACACCTGAGCGGCGAACCCGGGTTCTGGCGGAAAGGTCGCGTCAATGAACTGCGCAAAGCTCTCCAGCTTGGCCTTGCCGCAAGCACAGATAACGTGCTGCTCGGGACTGCAGTTTAAACAAGAAACATGTTTTGTGGCTTGATGCCACTAACCTCCCACAAACGTTCCTGCCTATTTTAGAAATAATTGGCTATCGACATTGAAGACATTTCATTGCTCCCGACCAAATCAAGCTTGCGAAAGCCATACTTAAAATCTGCCAGTTCCTGTTGAGCGATGGTGAAACTCAATGTCAAAAGTAAACTCCAACCAATCACCCTCCATCAAATGGACCCTTTGAGCCTCTGTGTCGAAGGTTTTGTCAACATAGGCCTCAAAACTGCCCAAAGGAATGACTTCCTTCTGCAACCTGCAGCAAATCATTCAATGTTAAAGAACAAAACCAACACTTCTCCACCCCGTCCACAAACAGCATCGCACGAAGTTGGCACTACCAAAAAAGGAAAACAAGTCAAGCGAGCAACCAATCGCAGATACTTGCGGTCACTGGGCATGTCACGGCTTGAGGAGTTGGCTTGGTCACCTTCCCCCCCTTCTTGTTAGGATCTCCGCCGCCCGATTTCCGCTTGGCCGGCATGGTCACAAACCGTCAAAAACCCGGGTCTGTCTCTGAGCCCACCGTTGCCACGCAGAACTCTTCGAGTGGACACAACAATCAGCAACACCGTTCTGCCTTACGCCACGCTGGAAAGCAGGTTACATAAGAATCAGTTTCATGGCTTCCCCCAAGAGATTCCTCCTAGACACAGGGCGCCAAAACACTCCATTCTCCTGCCAATTTTCTGCTCAGATTTGACCACAATGGAAATTTAAAGGCTTGTGAGGGACGCTTTATATGGTCAAGGCTGAGCGGAAAATTGCAACGTTCACATAAACATGGAAAATCACAAACCTAAAACACGCGAAGCTCCAACGCTTTGACTTTCATACACTTTCATAATGGCACTGAGAGAAATCTTTAGAATCACACACCCGAATCAGTAGAATGTATTCAAAAGCCTTCACCCACAACCCGATAAAGTTCGACACTAAGGACCTCATGAAGACCATACCTCTGATGTGGATCAGCACCAAAAATTCGACACTAAGCCGGAAGCACAAACACCAAGATCACTAGTGTCGAATTCCACCTGGGATTCGACACTAAGGCTTGAGCACACACGTGGAAATCTATGTTTACAACCCTGTATAGTTTATAAAGGGAAGTAAATGCTGCCCGTTTTCATCCCGTGACGTTTAGGGTTTAGGGTTGCGCAAAACTTTCTTGAGGCTATGACCTGTTACAATGATTTGGGTGTTTAGTGGCGCCTGTGTATAGTAAGAGCTGCGTAGACCTGACTGTTCACCCTGGCACCCTGAGTGTTAGTGTCGAATTCCACCTCACATCCGACACTAAGGAGTGGGGCGGGCATGAATTTCTATGTATTGAAACTTGTAGTGTATCAAAGGAACTAAATGCTGCTCTCTTTTTTCCGGTGACGTTTAGGGTTTAGGGTTTCCCATCGTGAACCATCAATGACCTTTGCGTTGAATACCAAAGTCAAATCAGCGGGGATGTGGTTGAATTGATCTTCCTGGAATAATAGTTTCCTTATCTCCAGAATATAAAGACAAAATCCACCACCACGTTGCCTGCGCAAAGAGCCCGGCCAAAGTGTTGGATGCAGGGTGGGATTCAACACCCCCAATGATTGCAAATGTCAAAAAATCTTTACAAAAGAAAACAAAGACATCCCCAACAACACAAACAGCTCCACAGGTGATGAAAACCACCTCAGACTCAACACTGATTTTGGCCTCCGCCACATTAGCATTTAGTGGTGGATCCGGGCTGTGGGCACAGGGCTGAGGTGTCGAGTTCAACCACCAACCACACCTTTAAACACATAACTCTCACGCTAAATGTTGCCCAGAAGATCAAGCCCTGGCCCTGCTTTTGCCCTTAGCCTTAGCCTTACCCTTGGACTTTGGCTTCGCCACGGGTCCAATGATGGCTTTCACTTTCTTGACCGCTCGTTCGGCCAGCCCTAAGGCCTCGTTCCACTCAACCCCTGCCGACCACGCTTCTGCAGCCGCTTCTAAAGCCAGAGCTCTAGAAGCTGTTGCTATGTATTTGTCGCAATTTTTGCGGTCATCAGGACCACGGGTCAACCTCAGAGTTGAGCACACACTGCCAGGTGTGTTCGATTCCTCGTAGGTTTGAATTGGGGTTGCCAGATGAACGCCAGTTTGCGGGGTGGCCAAGTCCGGTGGAAACTTGGAAACTTGCAATCCTGAACACCCCACTCAGTTGCAACCAGGAAGCCGCAATCTGTTTTCGCGGGGCTCAAAAGTCCGCACAAGGTCAAACCCATCGTGATGTGGAGTGAAAGCTGATCCTGACCGGAAGGAACACCTGGGCAAAATTGCTGCTGCTACTGGCACGATGACATCGGGACAAAACAAGAAAGCTGCGCAAAACACTGCAACTGCGAACAAAGTGCGCCGAGATATCCAAAAGAGGCGATGGCTCCAATTCATCGTTCACCCACTTCTCGTAATAGTCTCCAGCCTCGTTCAAACTATAAGACCTCAGGACTGGCACGAACTTCCTCAAGTGCTCCCGGTATTCGGTCGGCAGGTCGTTGTTGTCAGCAACCCCTGGAGGGCAACTGGGCTAGGAGCACTTCACTCACCATAGAACAAAAGCAACTCTGAATCAGCTAGCCGGTTCGCCTAAGGGGAGGCCATCAGGGATCTTCTGCTCACCCACCACTCCGGGGTAGAAAAGAAAACAGCTGTTGTAGTCTCTGTCCTGCATGTACTGCTTCGTCCTGACCAAGCCGTGAACAAACACAACACAAAACACAAACATGGACCCGAGCACGCAAGGGCTTACACAACTACATTGGCCTCAAATAGTAGCTATGAACTGAACACAAATGGTCGTGTTTCAGAGCTCAAGGTATGAATGCACCCCAGCGACCGTATGATGATATCATTGGGCCGATGATCTTCCTCCGCCAAATTCCAGTACGTGTCACTGGCTGAATCAGCTATAGAGCCTGACTGCCACCGGGGCACGCAACACTCATCTCACGAGAAAATATTTGCTGGTGGAAAAACCGCCCATGAACAAACGCTTTCGATTTGGGCTGCAAACCATAATTCCACAGGGGCTCTGTTTTTGGAGCGAAGGATCTATGCACGGTCCTTTTTTGAGGGGTGGGGGAGCGCCCTAATAGAAATACGATGAAATACGTAAGTCCCCTCACCCGCAGAATGGAACTCCAAAAAGTTGGAAAATTAGCACCTTCCGGCCGTTCCTGTCGCCCCATGAGCACACCCTCCAAAACATATGACCATTAGCCGACCAGTCGCCCAAATCGGCTCGTCTGGATATCTCAAAGTGGTGCGGCGCGCCTGGCCCCCCGATTCCAGAGATCATCACAGGGCACACGCCGCTAAGGAAGTCTTTCCTGCAGTCAAAAGCCCAAGAAAAAACTATTGTAAATCGTTCTGCGCCTAGCCTCCAAGAGAGGTCAATAAGAGGCGCTAATGTTCCACTGGGATTGCCTTGCGAAAAAACAATACCACAAGTTCGGATTTTCCTCTTCAAATGGAGTTGCAGTCTTTGTTGCAGGCCAATCCAAATGGAACATTGCAATCAAGAGAACACAAGAAAATAGTGCCAATTATTATATATGTTACATTAGAGTCATTAGAGTTGGCCCTATTGATTGTTGTCGTCTCTTGACCTCTCTTGGCTACCAGGTTACCGTTCAATCGTTGAACTAAAGTTATTGGCATTGGATAGACCTCAAAACTGCTGAACCGTTGCAAATGTCCACGGGCGGTGTTGGTCGAACAGCGTGACAGATCGCTCCAACTCGTGCGGCCGGTCGCAAGTGGTGGCAAATTTCTGGATGAGCTCGCAGAACCGCGATGGTGTCTCAAGGCAACGACCATTCCGAACGACAAATAGACTCAAGGACCCGAAGCACTGATCGATGTCTTCATGGGAGTGTCCTGTGCGTAAGTGCCGCATTGTCGATCCAGCGATGATTCCTTGGAGCGAAGGCAAATGATTTGTTGGTCACTTCCTCTGCCACTTATTGTTTGTTTGTTGCCCTCACGTGAAGGCTTATCTTCAATACGCTCTACTTAAAATTGGGTCTTTTCAGGTCGAAGGCACGCTGTTGGGTCAATATGGACAACAGCCTTAATGTCGTCGAGTTCTTGGTCTCTCTGGGAGTGTTGTCAGCGATCAGGTGAACGACCGTGTCGGCCAGTTTCACCCCCTGCCGCTCCAACTTCGTGAGCGTGTGGCAGAAAAGCTCTGCCATGCAAGAGCTGTCCTTTGGGTGCTGTGGCGTTGATATAGTAAAAGTGTCAAATGAAAGCCGTGAGCTATGACGCCAATGACCCCCAATTTCGGGCGATTCAGGGTGTTCAGGTCCTTCCCACGGCACAAGTTTGTTCGCGGGAAGCTGAACTTGAAGGCATCCATGCCGTCCTGGATCACAACTATGTGACCCAGGGTCCGTAGTCTTGATGAGCCACGTAAGCTCCAATAGGTCAAACGGTCCCTGTATTGCATCATGAGGTGAGAATGGTACAGGCGAGCCTGATGCTGTCTGGCGTAAAGGTATGGAGCCAGCTCCTTCAGAAGGACCCGATGGTGTAAGCAAACGCTGCATTGGGCGTGGGATGACACCGCCCGGAATTTTAAGTGATCATACTCAGTTCGCCATGTCTTCCAGAATGTGGAGAACGAAGCGGCCCGGTGGCCTTCAATGGCCTTGTACTGTTCGTAGTAGTCCTGCATGCATCCAGGAGGCAACCATTTGGTGGCCAGCCCTGAAATCTCTGGCCTTCGTTCCACGTGGACCTTGAGGCCCTTCTTGAATCTGTTGACTTTGACACTCTTCTGCATTCGGACAGTCATGTATGGATCGTATCCAATGTCTTCGGCTCGATAGGCCACTATCTCAAGTCCCGGGTCATCTCTGCAGTCTGGCAGCGTTTCGGCTACGCTGTCGTATATCGTTTGCAAAAACGATACGATCTGGCCACTAGCATGGTCCCCAGTGATGCGGCTGACTGGACGGGATAAGAATCTCAAGTCTGCAGGTGGGGCGTGATCTCCACGACGCGCCGCAACCCACAACCGCTTAAATCTCTCATTACCTGGGAATATATTTGTGAACAAAGCCCTCTGTCTAATGGTCTAATGGTCAACCCTTCAAAATGGTTGAATTACTGTTTAAAAGGCCAAGACCTCAGAACCTCTACAACAAGTAGAGTCGGTTGAAGAAAGCGCAGCGAATGAGCTTACCATGTCAAGGCACCCATAGCGTGCAAAGCTCTCCACCCTCTGCAGC